TTTTTAAAATATTCAAAAGTGATTAAAATTGTAACTTTTTTGGTACATGGGCCTTCCGGTTTCCGGCTCCACAAGGGAATCGACTAATCCGGAATCGAGCCGTGTAGGACCACAAGGGCAGCAAAGCTCTCCCTCAAGAGTTTTAACACTGCTGCATTCACAAGGCTCGAACACGAGATAAATTGTAACTTTGAAATAAATGGGTGACGTCTAAAGTGGCGAAATTCATCTAAAATTATATATATTATGTTAGATTTAGTCATGAAGCTATAACTAAAGTTGTATATATTGATAAAAATATATAGTATCTTAGGAACCTATATACATTTTAAATCAAAGTTTATGGCGATTGAGACAAAAAAATGAAGCTAGAAACTAGAATGTTCTCTATAGAATAGAAATTAATCTTAGAGTTTTGAAAGGTGCTAGCGTGTTTAACTCACTTAAAGGCAACTACTAATCTTTAGCAAATTAATGTTATAGCGTAAATGTAGAAAAGTCACTACATGAGATACTTATACAACGGTTACCAACGGAAATTCCAACGAAAATATTGCGTTGGAGTGACTTTTCTATTGGAATTTTAGATGGAATTTGATGATTTCAACGGATATTTTTCTAATGGTTTTTTACTGTGAGAATTTCCGTTGGAATGTGCAATTTCCGTTGTAATTTTTATTTCCACATTCGTTGGAAAATCTACCGTTGGAATCGTAAAAATCCAACGAAAATTCCAATGGAAAACTTATTCCAACTGAATATTTTTGTTGGAATTTACGTTGGAATTCCATTATAATATATTTTTATTGAAACTTTCCGTTGAAATTTCATCATTTTGTTGTACTGACACCTTCCGTAATCCTTGCAGGTGAACCACACGATCACTTAAACCGACAACCGAGTCACACACAACAACAACGAACCCCAACAGAGCTACAAAAATAAATTGGGTCACTTGAACTGCCTAGTCAGATATGTAACATGTGTCATTTTTACGTGCATTTCAAAGTGATTGTCGTGCTTGTTTTGTCATAGTTTGACATTAATTATTATTCATTTTCTTAATTTTATTAAGCTATGGCGAAATTATTTTATTTTGAGTTTTGACTGGAAATGAGTTCGGAATAATTATTGAAGTCGAAAACGGTGAAAAACGGTAGAAGACGGTGCAGGAGCAGTGCATTGGGACAAATTTAATTGTAAGGACTAAGGCCCTTATGTAGAAAGAAAGCAGCCCACAGCCACTTATAGGATGTTGGGCCGCATGCATGTCTTTAAAAGGAAAATATAGGCCCAAAACAATTCCAGCATAAATGCAACTTAAGTGAGAGCAAAAGAGTCATTCGAAGTTAAAATGCTTCTTCTTCCTCTCTTCTCCTCCTCACACAGTCACACACGTAACTCTTGTCCACCATGGCTGCCAAGAAGCTTTCAACGCCTTGTTGAAGTCGGAACCTCGCCTCCGGAAACTGATCGTACTCCGTCCTTACCATCTCTCCGACTTCGTCGGAGAAGACCAAGTTGGTGTCGGGTTGTTCGTGAGCAGGGGCGTAGCCAGAAATATTTTTTACCCTGGGCTGCTAGAACCGATTTGGTAGGGAGTATAACTCAGTTCGACTCGTAAAAAATCAATCGTGATTCATTCATATAATAAAACATAAAATGAAAACTTAGTTCAAACGAGCGGAGCTTAGTTGATTACACTCAATTTATTAAATGTTTCGAGTCAAACATGTTCATTTATTAGACGAACACAAGTTCGAACACGATGCACTCGGCTCAATTTGGCTTCAATGATATTTCGCTTAAATTGTGGAATTCCAAATGTCGTTTCATTGATGTGCTATGCAAATTAATGAATTTAAATTATCTATTTCGCATATTCAAATATAATTTATTTAAAAGTTAACAAGTTGATGTATTTCATATATAAACTAATATAAATAATATAAATTAATCGTGTATTAAATCAAACATTAAAAAATAAAAACAAAGCAGAAAAAATGACAAAGTAAGCTATAACCACATAAAAATACATATGAAAAGTTTGAGTCATGTCCAAAAATATGTATAATATTTTGGTTTAATATCAATTATTTTAAATGAATACGGACTAAATAATTATATCATGAATTAAATTAATAAAACATGGGTTAAAATATTTTTTTTTTACTACTACATATTTATATTAGACAAAAAATTAAGACTGGGCTGGAGCCCGGGTGAGCCACCCTCTGGCTCCGCCCCTGTTCGTGAGGTGATCAGAACAGCTCCGAGCTCCCGACCAGCCATCGTTCTCCCTCTCTGATCACTGGAACTCCGATAATAATTCTTATACGACAACCTGGAGATGCCTGAGAATCTGTAGAACACGCCAGGAGTCGAAAATAGCCCCAAAAAATTGAGTTTTCAGTCGTTCCAACCGACACGAGTTGTGTCGAGCCGAAGGGTCACGAATCGAGCTCTCGACTTTTGCACACGACTCGTTTGGATTATGTGACATTACTACACGAACCATGTGTAGGTCTGGGCGCGACCAATTAATACGCATTTTACGCGTTCTTCCTATTCTATGAGTGTTTTTATTAGAACTCGACCCAAACTATATAAATACCACTAGGCCACGTCAAGGGCGAAATCAGGAATTAATTAGAGAGGGCAAAAGACAGGAAAAATTTCATTTTTGGTCCATTATATTGGTCATTTTCCAGAAATGATCCACTAATTTGGCAGACATCAAACCTGATACAATAAGTTGTAAAATTCATCAGTTTTGGTCCATAAGCATACGTGGATTTTTATTGGACGAATACGTGGACAAGTTTGATGTCCGCCACGTAGGCTCCTGTGTGATTAATGGACCAAAAATGATGAATTTTACAACTTATTGTATCATGTTTGATGTCCGTCAAATTAGTGGACCATTTATGAAAAATGGCCAATATAATGGACCAAAAATGAAATTTGGCCGCAAAAGACATGACAAAAAATTAGGAGATGCAAAAAATAATTTAAGAAAGGGACAAATTAAAATTTTTAATTATAAATGTAAAAAAGATTAAAATTTGAGGGGGGGCAATTGCCTCCCTAGTGATACATATAGTTTCGCCCTGGGGCCACGTTTTGTTAGGGAGTTTCTGAGAACATTTTATAAATTTAGAGGCTTTTGTAGGCTAGGAACACGCACAAGACGAGTGAGAAAGCCGAGAAGAAGAGGTCGACGAAACCGAACAATTTTATTTTACTTTTCTCTCTCTTTTGTCTTTTCAAACTCAATGTTCTATATTTATTGTTCTGATTTTAGAAACATATCTGATTTTAGAAGTATGTTTCTAAGATAAATTTATCTTAGATTCTGGGATTTTTTTGTACTCAGATTGATTTATGATATAGTATTATTGCTTTCATTCTGGTATATTTTTTGTTTATGAATTTCTCGTGCTAATTTTTCTTATATAGTAATATGTTTGCGATTGATTTGAGACCGTGATGAGAAGATAATTTATTGATAGAATTGAGAAATTTATAACGTAAGAGATTAAACAGACCGAAAGGGGTTAATAAGATCTTACGAGATAACGAAAATCTTAGGAATTCATGGAGTTAGTTATTTATCTTGAGACCGAGAGGAAATATATAAATAACAATTAATCTACGATTTAACTTGTTCGAGATAATAGTTAAATTAATTTAGCGATTATCTCTATGATTGGTAAAATTAAATAAGGTCTGGATGAATTTAAAAGTTTCATGAATTATTCTGAGAGACGCTAAACCTAGAAACTATCATTCTAGTCATGTTTATTCTATAAAGAAGATCAAGTCTTATTTTCTTAGATAATTTGTTTTAATTTCTTAGTTTATAACCATCTTCTAGATTCGTTAGTCTAGATAATATTTAATCATCATTATTTTAGTATTTAATTAATTTAACTACAATCTCTATAAAATACGACCTTGCTCCTCGCTTGCTATAGCTGATTCGTACACTTGCAGATAACTTATATAATTACCGAGCAATCAGGCAAGAAGGTTGTTTTCGATCTAAATATGGACTACGAGGAACTTTGGCGTCGTGGAAAGGAGGAGCCACCATGAACACACCGGATGGCTTGAGACTAGGAACCAAGGAGGCCCACCCAAGGCTGGAGGACCCAAGGGCTGAAATTCCACCAGATCGACGATTTCCCTCGACTTGATTGGGGGCTAAACGCGACGACCAGCGACCCCCTCTGAATCCAGGGAGCTAGGCGGGGCGGCGAGACCCACCGCCGACCAAGACTCCTCCAGAGCTTCAGAGGAGCCGAAAGAGATAACCCAGCCGCATCTCGGTTGAGGCCAGTCCAGTAGGTGCAGTGGTCCTGCTGCTGGAAGAGGGAAGGCGACGACTTTTTTTGGAACAATAGAAATTTTATAAAAATCGCAAAAAAGTACAAAAGTACAGCCAGAAGCTGAATACATGCAGCTAACAGCTGAATAAACTGGGAGAACAGGCCTAATGCCCGTCTAGAACCGTCCCCAACGGGAAAATACTCGATAAATGTTTGTTGTGTTTTTGTCCTTATTTTCTTGTGTTTTATGTGTTTTATTTTGTGGTTTTTAGGTCCGTTTTTTGGCTCGACCGGTCCATTTTGTCGTGTTTCGTATAT